GTGGGAAATTGGGGTAGAAATTGGGGTGGGGGGTAAAATAGGGGGGTAAAATTGGGTGTAATGAGGATGAGGATGGGGATGGTGAGGGTGAAGGAGATGATGAAGATGGGGATGATGGAGCTGATGGGGATGGGGACGGAGGTGATGAAGATGAGGATGAGGAGGATGATGGAGGTGAAAAGAATGGGGGTGATGGAGGTGATGGAGGCAATGAAGAAGATGAGGATGAAGATGAGGAGGAGGAGGAGGATGGAGGTGGAGATGATGGGGATGATGGAGGCGATGAGGATGATGATGGAGATTAAGATGATGGAGGTGATGAAGATGATAAAGGTGGGGATGATGGAGATGAAGATGGGGTGAAGATGAAGATGAGGATGACGACGGGGATGCTGGAGGTGATGGGGATGATGGAGGCAATGAAGATGATGGAGGTGATGAAGATGGGGATGATGAAGATGCTGGAGCTGATGGGGATGCTGGAGGCAATGCTGAAGATGAAGACGATGAAGGTGATGGAGATGATGGGGATGATGAAGATGGGGTGAAGATGGGGATGATGGAGGCGATGAAGATGATGAAGATGGGGGTGAAGACGAGGATGATGAAGGGGATGATGATGGAGGCAATGCTGAAGATGAAGATGATGGAGGTGCTGAAGATGATGAAGGTGATGAAGATGATGGGGGTGATGGAGGCAATGATGAAGATGAAGACGATGGGGGTGAAGACGAGGATGGTGGAGGTGATGGTGATGATGGAGGTGAAGGTGATGGAGGTGATGATGATGGGGATGGGGATGAAGATGAGGATGAAGACGGGGATGATGATGGAGGCAATGCTGAAGATGAAGATGATGGAGGTGCTGAAGATGATGGGGATGATGGAGGCGATGAAGATGATGGGGATGGGGATGAAGATGAGGATGAAGACGGGGATGATGATGGAGGCAATGATGATGATGATGGAGGTGCTGAAGATGATGGGGATGATGGAGGTGATGATGAAGATGAAGATGATGGAGGTGATGAAGATGATGGGGATGATGAAGACGAGGATGATGGAGGTGATGGTGATGATGGTGATGATGGAGATGAAGATGATGGAGGTGATAAGGATGATGGGGATGATGATGGAGACAATGATGAAGATGAAGGTGATGAAGATGATGGGGATGATGAAGATGGGGATGATGGAGGTGATGAAGAAGATGAAGCTGGGGGTGAAGACGAGGATGGTGGAGGCGATGGGGATGATGGAGGTGAAGGTGATGGAGGTGATGATGATGGGGATGGGGATGAAGATGGGGATGATGACGGAGGCAATGATGAAGATGAAGATGCTGGAGGTGCTGAAGATGATGGGGATGATGGGGATGAAGATGATGGGGATGATGGAGGCGATGAAGATGATGGGGATGGGGATGAAGATGAGGATGAAGACGGGGATGATGATGGAGGCAATGATGATGATGATGGAGGTGCTGAAGATGGGGATGAAGAAGATGATGAAGATGGGGAGGGGGATGATGAAGATGAGGATGAAGATGAGGATGAGGATGATGACGGGGATGCTGGAGGCGACGGGGATGATGAAGATGATGAAGATGAGGACGACGGGGATGATGGAGGTGAGGATGAAGATGATGGAGGTGGTGATGATGGGGATGGGGATGAAGATGAGGATCAAGATGGGGATGAAGATGGAGGCAATGATGAAGATGAAGATGATGGAGGTGATGAAGATGATGGGGATGATGGGGATGAAGATGATGGGGATGGGGATGAAGATGAGGATGAAGATGGGGATGATGACGGAGGCAATGATGAAGATGAAGACGATGAAGGTGATGAAGATGATGGGGATGATGGAGATGATGAAGATGGGGATGATGAAGATGAGGATGATGGAGCTGGTGGGGATGATGGAGATTAAGATGACGGGGTGAAGACGAGGATGATGGAGGCGATGGGGATGATGGGGATGGGGATGAGGTGGGGATGAAGATGGGGATGAAGATGGGGATGATGGAGGCAATGATGAAGATGAAGATGCTGGAGGTGCTGAAGATGAGGATGATGAAGGTGATGGAGGTGATGATGATGGGGATGGGGATGAAGATGAAGATGGGGATGAAGATGATGGAGGTGATGATGGGGATGAAGATGGGGATGATGGGGATGGGGATGGTGGAGGTGATGGAGGTGATGAAGATGATGATGATGGAGGTGAGGATGAAGATGGGGATGGGGATGAAGATGGG